AGCATGATGTGCTAGACAAGCATTCTAGTAGCATGACACAACAGATCTAGGGTAAGGTTTACTAATGTCAGCTGCATCATTTAAGGCATGCTTATAAACAAGTGGGCTGTCACTGATGTAAAGTTTAAAAAAAGGTGTGTAAACAATTAAGTTATTAGGTATAACCATATATTTTGTTGTGTCAACCAGAAATGAACAGAAGAAGAGGGACAGCCAGAGAAGTTGATCACTCATATCAATGCAAACTCAAACTACACCTGACTGTTTTAGTGTTTCAGTCTCCACGTCCAAAAACATGTAAATTAAAATATCTACCTCTCAATGTATAAATAAGTTCATGGATTAATAGCACATCCCTTTTTTCCTAAAACTACACCACTGAAACAGAGGCCCAAGACTTGTTGCAACTCATGGCCCACACAACTGACACAAAAGCTTTGGTCGTCCGTGAGAACCAACTCAGTTGTTTATAATGCAAATAATACAGTACAATGTAGCCTGTTCAATTTTGCTTGATTTTGTAATATAACCCAACATAATCCCAGAAAATATCAGAAATGTTTCTAGCTCACCCAATGAGATGATGTGATGAGGTGATGTTTTTTTGGAAGCTACAGTGGAGGACAGGTTGAAGAAAGGAAAGTTGTGAACAGAGTTCTGGCTCAATCAAGTAGGTTTACAGCACAAAGCAGTAGTAGCTCATTTTCAGTTCAGGTACATGTGAAGCTTAGCGCTGGGTATTCATTGCTGTATTTTCATTTCTATGTATGCTTGGTTTTCTCTGTCTCTTCAGTGTGAGATACAGTGGTTCTTCGGGTTGTTGATGGTCCAGCATTACTTTTGGAAGACGCTGTTTGTAACATTTATCAATGATGGAGTTTCAAATGATTGAAAAAAGAGAAACACTTTGCACTGAATACAAACTAAGCAAACCTATCAAAGAGCTTTACCTAAATATGTTTATTTTTGCAAATAATTCCCACAACCTAAATATTAAAATAGTAATATTAAAAAGATGAAAAATATGTTTGATAAAATCTCTTTATATTGTAAAAAAATTAAATACAAAGAAATGGTTGAGGCCCCCCAGTTGTACCACTCTGGCTCACAGGTTGAAAACCACTAGAACTGCTAGAAGGGTCTTTAAAGAACCTTTCAATAGATGATGAAAAGGAACTCAATGAAATATACAGAAAATAATTTTTTAGGGAACCAAAAGAGGTTCTTCTAAGGCAGGGACGGTAACTGAAATGTTAAGAAGAGCCATTTTGTCCTTTCAACAAAAATCTAACCACCTTGGGAGCCACAACGTTTTATGTCCATTTTACCATCTTGGCTGTAAATATGCCTCAGTATGTATTAGAATAGCTGATTGTCTTGCATCTCCAGCAAGAAACTTAACCTCAAAACGGAATCTCTCAATGTTTGATTTTTACGAGGCTGAAGTCGCTTCTCATTCGCCAGCTTCTTGTTTGGATTTTCCCGTTCCACCTTAAATGGTTCCTGGGGGGCCAAAATGTAGCTGCTGCATCATTTAAGGTGGAACGGGAAATTTTGAACAAGAAGATGGTGAACAAGAAACTGACTTCAGCTTCACAACTTTTTAGTGTTTGACAGTTTCTCATTGCAGATTAAACGTATCAGAAACCAGCTGGAGTGATTATAAATGCAAATAAGTCTGTCCATCTCCAAATTATCAATGTTCAACTTAAATCATTCTCTTTGCCTTTTCGTTAACTACTAATTAGGTGAGCCTGTTGTTTGGGTTGCTATGGTGACCAATGGTCTGTGCGGCAATCTTCAAGGTTAAAGGGTGAATTAGCTGTTCTAACTCCAGCGTTTAAGACCTTATATTGTTAAAACTGTGTTAGAACGATCAGCAGAGCTTTAATTTACTGCAAAGGAGGATTATTTCTTTTTTTACCTAAACATCTAGTTTTGCTTTGGAGACACAACAGGGCAGTAAAAGAGCTGCATGCAGCTCCAGAGCTGCATATTGTCTAACCGTTCTTCTAAGGCAAAAGTCCAAAGTGTGGCCTGCAGCCCAATGACCTCTGAGGATGTTTGAGCTGGCCTGCAAGAAAGTTGCCCTAAGCCCACCCTGTACACCCAGTAAGAGAATAAACATATTTTTGCACTATAGTTAACTTATTCACTTCTGATTTTCCCTTTAAATTCAAATAACCAACATAATTTTACATATTTTGTACATTTCTAGTACATTTTTAATACGTAAAGCACATTTTACATTTTTTTTTTCTTAATTTTTTTAAGGCACCAGAATATATTTGCTGAAATAAGTGTTGTTCAATGTTTCTGACATGCAGTTGTAGAACATAAGCTGCCCTCAGGCTTCCCACTTGTTGTATAAAAATGGAGAGAACACTTCCCACCCTGTACTTAGAGGTAAATATAGCTGACTACATCAGTGAACTGCTAAAGGCTGAACATTTCTGTCATGAATAGTAAAAGACTCTGCAGGTAGATGATATAAAAGCCCTTCTGTATCTCCCTGCACTTTTCCAAGAAACATTCTCTTTTTCTACTTTTGACCTTTAAATGCTCACAGCTCCCGCTGATGTGTGTGTACTCTGAAACAGCTTAAGGAACACATCTGATGGGTGGGAAACTTCGCACATCTTAAGCACAACAGGGACTCCTTTTCTTCCTGCGCTGCGTAAATGGTGTGTGAAACCTGCCGAAAATGTAAAAAACTCAGCAGGACTCTGTGGGCTTAATTAGCTGTGAAGGGAATTTTGCTGTAAGGTGAAATCCGAGACTGTACATAATCCATCATGAAGCCACCTGTAACACCACAGCTATACCATCTGTGGAATAGCAAAGGAATGTCTTGTTGGTAGCACTTTATTTTACAGATTGGTAATAAGCATTTAATTATATGGTAATATTATAGTAATGACTTTTACTAACCTAAAAATGGCATACATCTTTAAATTTTTAACTTGCTACTAAACAATAAGTTAGTAAGCATATTAATAACAAAATGGTACAAAAATGATATGGTAATTTTCTAGTTGTTTGTAATAATGAATAAAATAATAATATGTGAGGTGTGAGTTCTATTTCAGAACTGATTTTGAAGCCTTTTGCCAGATCTGTGCTTTACAATAGAGTAACAGTATTTTTTAACATGCAAATTTCCAAAGTTTTTTTTTTTTTAACCTCTTCTGTTCCTGGATAACAAGACTTGTCCGTAGGCCGGCCTACATGTAAAAGCAATAGAACAACCATGGATGATTATATAGCAGTGATTTAGTCATAATTTCAGTGCAGTTAGCCACGTTATCCTGATTATCCTTGAACAAATATTCTCCTGCAGGATTTTCTGGTTGACATCAGAATTCATGGTTCCGTCAAATATGGCAAGTTGCCACAGCAAAGCATTCCCACAGTGTCACACTACCAATTCCATGCTTCACTGTTGGCATGATGTTTATGTCATGGAATACAGTGTTAGCTTTACACCAGATGCAACGGGAGCCGTGTCTTCCAAAACGTTCCACTTTTGACTCATTAGCCTACAAAACATTATTCCAAAAGGCTTGGGGGTCATTAAGGTGGTTTTTGGAACATGAGATAAGTCTTTGTGTTCCTTTTCGTTAGCAGAGGTTTTTGCCTTGCAACTATCCCATGGATTCAATATTCATCCAGTCTCTTTCTAATGGTGGAATGATGAATGCTGACCTTATCCAAGGCAAGTGAGGCCTGCAGTTCCTTAAAAGTTCACCTGGGTTCTTTTGTGACTTCCTGGATTAGTGCTGGGCTCTTGGAGGAATTTTAATAGGCCTGTCACTTCTGTGAAGGTTCAGCACTGTTCCAAGTTTTCTCTATTTGGAGAAAATGGCTCTGACTGTGGTTTGATGCAGATGAAAAGCTTTTCTACACTGATATATTTCAAAAATGTAACTTTTAATAACTAATAACTTGTCATTTCATCCAGAATTTCTTTTGTTTAGCGTGCTTGTTTTAAATTTGAGTAGTGTTCTTTTTTTGTAATTAATTTTTTATTATTTCCATTTAAAGAATATCACCCCCCCCACACACACACATCCAGCACTGACACACACACACGGGACTTACAAAAGAAAGAAAAAAACATAGCTACACACATGAAAACACAGCATATAGTTAAACAAGCACAACGGTCCTAACTTTAGAAATTCCACAAATCCATATATCAAGAGTTCTAGGGCCAGCATTGCTAATTCTTGTAGATGATCATTCATTTCAATAGTGTTCTAGTGTGCTTATTTAAATTAGTGTGCATATGCAAGCTTGCTGAGACCTTTCAGCCTACTTTACTTTGCTGAAAAGGCTTATTTAGGTGATGTTAATATAAACAGAGCCATTCTATAGATTCAACAGGGCTGGTAGTAATCAAGCCTAGGTGTGTCTACTTTAATCAATCCCAGTTATCAACTAAATTTAGTACTTTTTTCCTTCAATAAAATAAATGATCATTAAAATCTGTATTGTGACGTAACCTGACCAGAAATGAATATGTATAGACAATTAAAGGATATTAATTATCATTTAATAACTTCTTCCACCCATCCCCACGAAAGAAATACGATAATAAAATACGTTCTGGTGTATGATGTATAGTATTTCTATTCATATTATACCATATATAATACATAATAATAAGTAATAATATGTAAAAAAAATGCTAAAGTTTGGGCACCTCTGGTAAAAGTACTTACTAATTTTAAAAACAAATACACAAAATTTCTAATTTGTAATAATACATCCTATATGCATACATCCTTCTAGAAACTTCATTTGAATGTGCTATATATATATATATATATATCAGCAAAACATGTCATTTGACCAGGGGTCCCCAAACTTGTGCGTAGAACTGTGTAATGTATTTAAAGTGTTTAGGTTTTTGTTAAATGTTAAATTAAATAAATATGGTTAATATGATCAGTACTATGAAAGAGCAGTGAGACTGAATGTGTGCAGGGCTCTCTTACAGCACAGGGAAATGATGCACATGGCGTGGAGCTTGTTCTCGGAGCGGATGTAGGAGCGCATGCAGATGACGAAGATGTTGCCAAAGCAGGTGGTGGCAGAGACGACCCAGACGAAGACACGCAGGACGATGTTGGCCAGCAGGTCCTCAAAGGACGAGATGCCGTCTGTGTTGGGCTTGCAGCTACGCACATGAGGGGCATAACCACAATACTGGAACTTCTTAAAGTAGCTGAGATCAGGAGAGAGGGAGAGAGGGAGAGAGAGAGAGAGAGAGAGAGAGAGGGAGGGAGAGAGACAGAGAGACAGAGAGAGGGAGAGAGGGAGAGAGAGGGAGAGAGAAGAAAAAGACAGACAGAGAGAAACAGATGGAGATGGAAAGAGAGAGAAAAATATCTTTATACATATTCATTTTAACATGTATTGTACAGCTTTGCCAATATTGGTCTCATATCCTGTTATACCAATAAAGCATATTTGATATAAGAGAGACCGACAGAGAGACAGAGAAAGATAGCAAGAGAGATAGAGGGGCAGAAAGAGACAGACAGAGAGAGAGAGAGAGAGAGAGAGAGAGAGGAGAGAGAGGGGGAGGAAATTATTATTATTATTTTTGCAAAGAGTACATATTACAGTTCATTTCAGTTCATTCTATGAATTTCCTAAAATTCCTGAAATCTAACTTTACTGACTTAGACAGTGATCAGTGATTAGTTCAGCCTCGTTTCTCTCCCCTGCATCGTTTTCTCTCCCGTCTCTTTGCCAGGAGGTGAAAACTGTCTGAGCGCTCTTGAATGTGTCACTCATCCTCAGTACAGTGCTCGTATTGGAGAGGAGAGGATGCTGCTTTAAGACAGGTCTCAGAGTGGAATCACAATCAGCAGGAACAGCTACAAAAGACCTCCTGCTAAACGGCCGCTTTTCTTAGAGCGCTGTGAGCTTCATCAGCCACTTCAGCTGATCAGAATGTAAACTACGAAATACTGCAACGGAAATGTACAGAAAAACTGAAACATGAAGTCTCGGAGAACTTTAACACAGTCAAACAGAATGTTTCATATTCTAGTGTTTTCCATGACAAATAACTTGAATATTACTTGTAGCTACAGAATCTACTGGAAACCTCATCGCCATTACTACTGTTCATCTCAGTTTCAATGCTAGTGCAACTCTTTCCTGAATCTATTTTTAATGTCCTCCTAGATAAAGACATCAGAGAATATTGCAAAAGAAACAAAGAACTGTGGTGTGCATTCTGCTTGGCTTCTCCAAAGACTATTCATCATGGTTTAAACTGTAAGCGCACAGTCTTAATGGTCCATATCCTATATTTTTATTGTACGTTTTGTCTGTCTCTGTGAAATGAAAAACATATGACATAAATCATTTTTATGACCAAACCTCTCTTTATACAACTGAAAAAAACAGACTTTTCTTTGTTAATGTGTTTTTAAGACTGATACAGTGCTGTGAAGTCATCTGCCCTCATCTAATTTCTTCGATTTTTGCTTGTCACATTTAAATATTTCAGATTATCCTACTAATTTAATATGAGACAAAGACAACATGAGTAAACACAAAATACAGCTTTTATTTATTTATTTATTTTTTTATTTTTACCCCATTTTCTCCCCAATTTAGTCGTTTCCAATTCCACCTGCTAGTTAGGACTCCCCCAATCACACGATGCTATCAACGCTAGGAGGGTGAAGGCTAACACAGGCTTCCTCCGAGACCTGTGAAGCGCCACTGCTTCTTTTCGAGCTGCCGCTCACGCAACGTCATTGGACCGCCGAACGCGCTCGGAGGAAAGCGCCAACCGCCAGATCTGTTACGTCAGCTAACAGACGCCTGCGCTGACTAGCATTGCGTTGAGTGATGGGGAGAGAAGGGGGGCCATCCTACCCACCCAGAGAGAGCGAGGCCAACTGTGCTCTCTCGGACTCCCGGCTACGGATGGCTGTATTTCCATTTATTGAGAATAAAGATTAATTCAAAACTTGTATCACCCAAGTGGAAAAGTACTTGCCCCCAAACCTAGTAACTGGTTGTGCCACCCTTGTCAGTAACAACTGCAATCAAATGGTTGCAATAACAAGTCTTCTACTTTGCTATGGAGGAGGTCTGCCCCACACTTCTTGGCAGAAATGCTTTTAAATAGGCTACATTGGACGGTTTTCGAGTATGAACTGCCCCTTTAAGTTCTTGCCACAGCATCTTAATGGAATTTAAGTCAGGACTTTGACTCGGCCACTACAAAACCTTAATTTTCTTTCTTTTGAGCCATTCAGAGGTGGACTTGCTTGTGTGCTTTGGATCATTGTCCTGCTGCATAACCTAACTACGCTTGAGCTTTAGGTCACAAACTGATGGCTGGACATTCTCCTTCAGGATTTTCTGATAGAGAGCAGAATTAATGGTTCCATCAATTATGATGAGTCATCCAGGTTCTGCAGAAGCGAACCAGCCCCAGACCATCACACTACCACCACCGTGTGTTACTGCTGGTATTCTGATGGTATAATGATGTTCTTATGGTATGCGGTGTTAGCTTTACAGCAGATGTAATGGGATCCCATGTTTTCCAAAAAATTCCACCTTTGACTCATTGGTCCACAAAATGTGATCCCAGAAGTCCTGGGGGTCATTTAGATGTTTTGTTTTTTGCAAACGTGAGATGAGCCTTTGTATTCTTTTTGGTCAGCACCTTGCAACTTTCACATGGATGCCATTTTTGTCCTGTGTCTTTCTTTTTTGTGGAATCATGAACAATGACCTTAACTGAGGCAAGTGAGGCAGTTCTTTAGATGTTTGTCTGGGTTCTTTTGTGAATTCCTGGATGAGTCATCGATGCGCTTTTGGTGAAATTTTGGTAAGCTGGCCACTCCTGGGAAGGTTCACCATGATTCCAATTTTTCTTCATTTGTAGAAAATGACTCTCAATGTGGTTTGTTGGAGTCCCAGAGCTTTGGCAAATGCTCTGTAACCCTTTCCAGACTGGTAGGTTTTAATGACTTTGTTTTGCTTCTGTATTTGAATCTGCTTCACATTGCCGGACAGGTTCTATTCAAGTGATGTTTAGATTCAGAAGGTGTGGCACTTATCATGCCTGGGTGTGGTTAGTGAAATTGAACCCCATAGTGAATTGAATTTGATTAACTGGTTGATTTAGTAGCTAAGGGGGCATTTACTTTTTCACATAGTGCCAGGTAGGGCTGAACAGAATTTTTTCATCATTCAAAAACAGCATTTTGTGTTTACTTGGTTTATCTTTGTCTAATATCAAAAGTAGTCTGATGATCTGAAACATTCATGTGTGACAAATATGCAAAAAACAGAAGAAGTTAGGAAGGGGCCAATTACTTTTTCACAACACTGTATATGTAAAAGATTAGCTGCTTTGCATTGCTCATAATTCCAGAAGCAGAAGGCAGTCCAGGACGAAACACTCTTTATAACTTCAGTGTGAATGGGCGAGGCTAAAGTGCTGTAGCCTAAATAAGGGGATATATGCAAATGCTCTTGTTTTCATGACATCACAAAGATAATTAATTCCTCAATTTCTTTTTCATATACTGTCCATGAGGATGAGTGGCACTTTTAAAAACTTCATTTGAAACTTAAACAATGTTTAAAATTGTTTACTACAGTCCTGTGCAAAAGTCAGTGACCACCTTTTATGTATTTAATTTCCATTTTATTTTATTTTATTTTATTTTATTTTATTTTAGTTCATTTTATTATTTTTCAAAAATGTTTACCACTTGCTGTAGTTTTGAAAGTGCAATGTTTCTCCTTGTTAATGGATATATACGATTTCAGCTATGTAACAGTTCGGAGTCTCCTTTGTCATATTTTTATTTCATAATTTGCCAAATGTTTTCAATGGGTGACAGGTCTGGACTGCAGGCAGGCCAGTTTAGCACCTGGACTCTTGTCCTATGGAGCCAAGTGCAGAATGTGGTTTGGCATTGTCTTGCTGAAATAAGCAAGGCCTTCTCTGAAAAAGACATCTGGATGGCAGCATATGTTGCTCCAAAACCTGAATATATTGTTCAGCATTAATGGCGCAAGTCACCAATGCCTTGTTTATTAATGCGCCCCCCATACAATCAGGGATGCTGGCTTTTGAACTGTACACTGATAGCAAGCTAGATGGTTCATCTCCTTTTAAGCCCGGAGGACGTGGCATTTCGCAAGGTTTCCAAAAAGAATTTCAAAGTTTGATTTGTTGGACCATAGGACACTTTTCCACTTTGCCTCAGTCCATTTTAAATGAGCTCTGGCCCAGAGAAGGTGGTGGTGTTTCAGGATCCTGTTTATATACGGTTTCTTTTTTGCATGGTTTTAACTTGCATTTGTTGATGCAGCGATAAACTGTGTTCAAAGACAGTGGTTTTCAGAAGTGTTTCTGAGCCCATGCAGTGATTTCCACTACAGAATCATGTCTGTTTTTAATGCAGTGCCGCCTGAGGGCTTGAAGATCACGGCCAGCCAATATTGGTTTTTGGCCCTGTCTCTCGCATACAGAGATTTCTCTGGATTCCCTGAATATTTTAATGATATTATGTACCATAGATGATGAAATCTCCAAGTTCTTTGCTATTTTACATTGAGAAACATTATTTATGAGTTGTTGAACTATTTTTCCACAGTCTTTCGCAGAGTGGTGAACCCCTTCTCATCTTTACTTCTGAAAGACTCAGCCTCTCTGTGATGCTCTTTTTATACCCAACCATGTTGCTCACCTTTTGCCAATTAAACTAATTAGTTGTGAGATGTTCCACCAGGTGTATTTTAGTATTACATAACTTTGCCTTCAGTTGTCCTTGTCCTAACTTTTGTGAAATGTGTTGCTGGCATCAACTTGGGAATATATTTTTCAAAAAACAATAACATTTTAAGTTTTAACCTTTGATGTGTCTCAATTAAATATAGAGTTTATATGATTTGAATATCATTGCATTCTGCTTTATTTTACATTTTGCACAGCAATTCAGCTTTTTTGGAAGCAGGTTTGGGTGAACTCTGACTTTTGAATAGTACTGTATTTCCAAAAGTGAGGATATCCATTTTTGTCCATGACACGGGCTCTTTAGAAGTCTACAGAGATGAATGGCAGTGCTCGGGTACCATCCACTTAATGCTGGGGCTAATATGCTCGACAGGGCCTAAGTGAGCTGAAAATTGCTTCCAGAGTGAGTGTTTTAGGTTATTGAGAACAATATTTCAGCAAGCTATAACAGTTTAATGAGTGAAATGTTTGGGTGGGAAAAGGCAACACTTACATGTGAGTCAGGTTTTTGAGAGGTTCAAACATCCTTCTGTGAATGTTCCCAATCTCGATCCCCTCGATGCTCCTGCAAGAGAGATGGTTCTCTTTTAGCACAGATACCATTAGCATCTAAGAACTTGCTCTGAAATGCTACACCCTTGCTTCTTTTTCAGCTCAACCAAATGTACATTCATTTCCTCCTTTTTGCTGTAGACATTCTCTGGAAAGCTTTGATGTTCAGCCTGAAAAGAGACTGTATTCCCTCCACTGATGGTGGACAGGAGAGGAGGTTTTGGCTAAGAGTGCTGAGCCAAGGCTAGAACACATAAACATCCCATTACTCAAATTACTGGCCTAGCTTTCTAGTCTGGGTTGTGAATGCGTGTGAATGTGTGCTGTTGATAACAAGAGGATGAAGTGAAAAGGTCCAAAGAGAACTGCGCACTCGCGCTGTATTCACTGCTCAAAATGTCTTGTTTGTGCCGCTATAGAGCTTTTAGCGTCGGCTAGCGATCGTCAACGTTCAGCGTTTAGGGACACCTACTATAGCTTTTCAGAATATTTTCAATACAAATGAGAATGCTTTCTTTTATCAGCACACAACTTAGCATATGAAAGACTAAGCAAGTTAATTTAGTCCAAAACAATATCAATGACAGTGCTACCTTGAGAATAATGCCAAAGCCCACCCATTTTCTTCCCCTTGTTATGAGTCAGCACTCATCAGTATTAAAACCTTTTAGATGTTTCAAGGGGAATTCTGCATAATGCAGTTGTTGAGATGTAAACAAAGTCATTTGGAGTGGTTTGATGTAAAACAGTGCACTGTAGAGAAGCTGGTCAAGTCTGTTTTTTTACAGTGGTGGTAATGGAAACCAGGGGTTACTAAGGCTACAGTGCAAATTGTTTATTATCCAAAACAACCAGTGGACCTACAAGTGTCTTCTGAGTGTTTGTACGGAATGTTGTTGATGGTAAAATAGTGGAAAATCAGAAAGTCTGTCTTTTTCTTACTTGTGTTTTTCCTAATAGACTGCTGCCTCTCTGCTCCTACCTCTGCCTCCAAAGACTTTGAGGTGTGCATTTTCGAATATTGTGCCTGCACAGTGTAGTTTAATAGCACAGACTTATTTGAAGCACAATCCTCAAAAAGCACAAAACAGCCCCCATTACACACTTAGACTTGGTGAGAAGTTGTGAGCTACAACAAATGCTAAAGGTGGACGGGTTGACCACCTGCTGTTTTCTGGCACTGCAGCACAATGTTGCACAAAAATGAAATACTTTATTATTATTTTTTTTTCTATGCACAACTGATGTAAACTTAACCTAGGCTAAAGTAGCTAGATAACGTTAACTGTGATGGCTGCTAGTTGGGTCAAATAGTTAGCTAGAACATTCCACAAATTGGTACTGTTTAGCCTAGGCTACTAAAACTAAAACACCAAAACTTAACAGTAACTGTTAGGAATTGTAGCAATTTCTGCTAAAAATTGATGGAAAGCTGGCAATCGACACGTTTCTCACCATGTGCTGGATCAATATTTAAATCTCAATGTTCTGATCTCAATAAGTCTGGGCAAATTACAGAATAGGCACCAATCAGAAGCTGCATACACTGCTTTGTATTTTCATGATGTCATCACATACACGTCTCACACATAATATTTTATAGTATTTTTCCATCAACCCTATTAAATGTAAGAATGAAACTGATAGTCAATTGTTGTTTTATAAGTTGAAACTTACTTCAGTACAAAACCTCATATTCATATGTGTTAGTGAGGATGATGTTTGATTACTTTGCCTTGTTAGGCAGTGGCACTCTGTATTGATTAGCTGAGACTTGGAAAAAAAATAGAAAAGAGAAAGAGAGAAGAGAGGAGTGAGGGCTGTTGCTGTTACTGCGTCCAGACATACATACATACATACATACATCATCTAAACCGCTTATCCTTCTGGGTCGCGGTGGGGTGCTGGAGCCTATCCCAGCTGTCATTGGGCAGAAGGCAGGATACACCCTGGACAGGTCACCAGTCCATCGCAGGGCAGACAAACAGACATACACAATCACACACTCACACCTAGGGGCAATTTTAGCATGTCCAATCAGCCTGACAGCATGTTTTTGGACTGTGGGAGGAAACCGGAGTACCAGGAGGAAACCCACGCAGACACGGGGAGAACATACAAACTCCACACAGAAACGACCCTGGTCGTTGCAAAACTATTGTAGATCAATGTCTCTGGCATCAGCCTATTCATAAGCATTTTGTGCAATAGCTTTCTGGCAGGGAGCTTTTAGAGGCATTAAACTATTTGTGTTCCTATCACAACCACAGTGAACCCGTCTAACTCAGTAAGTTTCTCTAGTTACTCATTAAACTACTTTAAATAACATTCACATCTTAACCATCTAATTATGCAGAAATCTTGAAAAGAATCAGTGAAATTCTGATGACAATCGTTCAAAGGTCATTCATGATGTGTTTTTATCACTAGTTTGAGGCAAAACCTGCTCTTTGAGATCATGAAGCTGAGTGTTGAGGCTAAATATGCCCAAGTATAAGTAAATAGCTGCTGAACATTAATGCTACACTGCGTAAGTTTTGGAGATTTGGAGACCCCTCTGGTAAAAACGTGTAATTGCATGCAACACATGGAAGAATTTTGTAAAGTGAGTTGTGCTTCAGAGCCCTTCCCCAAGCGGATGAATCTGATGATTATGAGTGCGTTGAAAGAGTATTCAAAGAGAACTCAAAGAAGTCAAAACATAGTGAAGGTTGTTTTTTCTAAGGATGTGAGTGAATTATCTACTATTGTCATCATATCTTCATCATTATTATGTTTTATTATATTTTGTAGATCATTTTTGAGCCTGTGTGTGTGATGCTGAAAAACTGGTCTGAAAAACTCACACGAAATAACTTGATGTCTTTGACTTTTAAATGATTTTTCCAGGCTTTGCAGGGCGACTCACCATATTTTAGCACCCATGTGTCAAACATAAGGCCTGTGGGCCAGATCAGTACTTTTAATTTTCTATTAATAGTAGCCCGTTTTCACAATGTGCTGGACTACAATCCCCAGCATGCACTGAAACATCATGTACTCTGACTCTCCTACCCCAACAACAGTCTATGGGACAGCGGTTTCACCAAAATGCATTTCAGCTGCAGTTCAACCAAAATAAACACTTAACATTAGCTTAGAAGCTCAGAAACTGAGCCCAAGTCTTAATGAACTTGCAGTAAAGAAAGGATGCCAGGTGTTGAGCACCTGGGGACATTTAAATTTTGAATACTTCAAGTGTCCATGTAATATTTCAAGATCTACTACAAGTGTCTGTATTTTACAGTTGAGGTTTTTGCAAATTCTGAATAAATAATGGTCAGTATGGGTTATAGCACAACATTAATTAAAAATGAAATAAAAATGTTTTTTTCTCTGGCCCACAGATTTAATGAGATGTTTTAATATGGCCCTTTTACTGGTTGAGTTTGACACCCCTGTGTTTTTCCTCCTAAATCAGTAATGCTACTTAATTTAAAAAAAACAAAAAAAAACAAAAAAAAACAAAGTGCAGCTTAAACCAAGTCAAATTTTTTCTTTACTTGCTTAATTAAAAGTTTTCACAATTCAAATGAATAAAGAATTCACAGTGTCTCCAAACTGTAAAATGGGCCGGGTAGGTTTGAGGGCTTTTTTGCTTAGTCTTCAAACTTTCTTCCTGTACGTGATTTCAACTTCTATGATGCCAAATTACAGCACATGGTTCCTAATGTGAGGACACACTGTGAAGTCTTTACATAATTAATGTTTCATCCGCCAGCACTCTCTATATGTGAACACCACACGACAGCGGCGGATGTCACGGTTAAAATGGAATCACAAATGACTCACAAAGACTTTAATTTATGCAGTTTGTCGAAATGGTCCATTTGCAGGTCCTGGATTGGGTTATATGAAATATTCCTGTGAAGTGAGAGAAGAGAGAAAGGCGTCAGTTTGACTCCTACAGGAATGCATTCAGAGGCGTCTGAATGTGTTTGGACTTCATGGATGCTGAATAATGCAACAGCTGAAGAAACTTCAGGCTACTTCAAGATTCGATGCTTTCAAGCGGTTTTATGAATATAAATGACATGAGAACAAGACAATTGTCATGAAAGCAAACAACTTACAGCTGCAACAAGTCCCCCAGATTTACAAAGAGATTGGGTGGGATCGTCTTGATCCTGTTGCTGGATAAGTCTCTGCAGGAAGAGAAAATGTTTACTGCGGACTCTGAAGTAGTTTCAGTAGTCGCACTGATGAGCTTTCCAATCAGGCTAATCCTTCAAGTGCCACAAGTCTTTGAAGGAGGACAGACGTCTAATTTCACAGCGTGTTTAGCGACGGCTGGGCCAAATTGTGCTGACGTGAAAAACTGATAAGCAAACGCATGAAAACAGGACTTTTAGACTCACACAAAAAAGTGGGTCAGGCCTAAAACTTCAGAGAACATTTTGGGGTGATTATTTTGGCAAACTGTATTGGGGGGGTGAGGGGGATGGGGGTGGGGGGTAAAACCAGATCAAAACATACAGCTCGCCCAACTTGCGGAGCACAGAGAAAGCCTGTTCATGGATGTGACTAATTCTGTTTCTCTGGAGGACCCTGGAGAGAGAGAGAGAGAGAGGGAGAGAGAGAGAGAGAGAGAGAGAGAGAGAGAGAGAGAGAAAGGGAGAGAGAGAGAGAGAGAGAGGGAGAGAGAGAGAGAGAGAGAGAGAGAGAACAGAAGAATAGAAAGAACAAAAGACAGAGTGACAGGGGGAAAGGGAGAATGAGAGAATGAAAGAAACAGAGAGAGAGAAGAGGAAGCAGAAGAGATAAAGAGAAAAGAAAAAAAAACAGAGAGAAGATAAAAGAGACATACCAAGAGAAAGAGAGAGAACAGAAGACAGAGAGAAAAATAGAGTGGAAGAAAGGAAAAGAAAACAAAAGAGAGATAAACAGGAGATGGAGTGAGAGACACGAACAGAGAGCGAGAACAGACAGGGGAGAACAGAAGAGAGAGTCAGAGAAAAAAGAGAGAGAGAGAGAGATAACAGAAGAGAGTAGAATGTATAAAACAAAAGAGAGAGTGATGGGGAGAGAGAATGAGAAAATTAGAGAAACAGAGAGAGAGAGGAAGCAGAAGAGATAAACATGAAGAAAGAGAAGAGAAAAAAACAGAGTGAAGATAAGAGAGACAGACAAAGAGAAAGAGAGAAAAGAAGACAGAAAAAAGTGGGAGAAAGAGAGCAGGAGAGAGAGATAAACAGGAGGAAATAGAGATAGAGCGAGAGACAGGAAAAAAGTGAGAAGAGAAGAGAGAGAGCGAGAGAAAAGAGAGAGAGAGAAAGACAGAGGTAGAATGAAAGATAGAAAAAAGAAAGAAATAGAGAAAAGAGATGAAGAGAAATGGAGAGCAGAGACAGAGATGGGGAAAACAGATAAAGAAAAATAGAGAATAGACAGAGAAATGGAGAAGAGAAATGAAGAGAAATAGAGAGATAAGAGAGAAATGAGAGAGAGAGGAATAGGAGAAAAGAGAATGAGAGGGAGAAAGAAATGGAAAAAAGAGAGGATGAAAAGGAGAAAAGAGGAAATAAGAGAGAAATAGAGAAAACGAGAGAGAAAAAATGAAGAGAGATAAATGGGGAAAAAATTAGAGAAAAATAGAGAAAAGAGAGAGAGTAAAATTGAAGAGAGAGAGAGAAATAGAGAAGAGTGAGAAAGAAAGAGAGAGAAAGAAATTAAGAAAAAAGTAATTGAGAAAAAAGAGAAAATGTGACAGAAAGAAATAGAGAAATGGAGAAACGAGAGAATGAGAGAGAGAAATTGTGAAAAGAGAATGAGAGAGAATGGAGAAAATAAGGAGAGAGAAATAAAGAAGAGAGAGCGAGAAATAGGAAAAAGTGAGAACGAGATAGAGGATTAGAGAAAAGAGAGAGAGAGAGAGAAAGGGGAGAGAGACAAACAGTCATCAGTGAAACGTTTGCAACTCCATTTGCAGCATCACTGGGTTTTGGAAGGCGGTCAGGAAGCTGCCCAGATGCTCAGTGCTGGTATTTGAAAGCAGAGTGTGAGCGGATGGACAGTGCGTGTGCAGGGGTTGATGGGGGTTACTGAAATCTACTTACAGCACTGTAAGCATGCTACATGACCAGAATGTCATATTCTCCACAACCTCGATCTGATTCCCCTCCATGTCTCTGCAAATAAACACACAACACAGCAATACACCACACTGAATCAAACCAGTACAGCATCAGCCACACATTCAGACACACCAACTCAATGTTTTTTATTATTTTTGTAATATTTTCCACATTTTCAGAAAGTAGTGCAGACATGCAGTGAAGTACCAGTGATCACAGTCAGTCAGGCTCACAGTGTTTAAAGGACAGTTGTGATAAAAGCCACTGAATCCTCCTGACTGAAGAGTAAACACTGAGAGCCTGCAGTACAAACACTGAGTCATTTACACACATCAAACTTACAGCCAGTTTAATCGCGGCATCTCCAGACAAACATCATCAAGCTTCGTTAGTGCGTTGTTCAACAGAACCCTGCGATACAAAACACACACACACTGTTGTTTTTTTACCCGTTCAGGGTGTGAGTACTACTTTATGTATACGCGTATATATATATATATATATATGTATGTATTTATATTGTTTTGAGGTTTTGAGAACTGCACATTGATACCCCCAGTCATCACATGGATTTGCCAAATTCACACCTTTTTTAACTTAATGAATGACAGATTAGCCCAGAGGTCACAAGTGTCAAATGTTAAGAAGAGCCATTTTGTCCTTTCAACAAAAATCAAAGCACTTTGGGAGCCAAAACTTTTTATGTTCATTTTATCATATTGGTTGTAAAAGTGACTAAGTATGCGCTAATGTACTAGTACAGGCTAAAAAATATAAACACAAATGCAGACTTACTTTGCTCTGCTTTAAGCTTTAGCTCAGCTATAGCTGCTTTTCTCGCATCTCTGGCAGGAAACTTTTTCGCAAAATAGAACAGTTTTTGTACTAATATCTCTCAATGTTTGACTTTTTACGAGGCTGAAGTCGCTTCTCATTCACAGCTTCTTGTTTGTATTTTTACCATTCCACCTTAAATGGTGCCTGAGGTGCCAGAATGTAACTGCAGAATGGAAGAAGCTGGCGAATGAGAAGCTGACTTCAGCTTCACAACCTCTTAAGCCCATTTCACACCAAACGCGACGCGACTCGCATGCTAATCCGGAACCACTCCGTGGCGCTTTGGGTTTCACACCAGACGCGACACACACATCGCGAGGCAAGAGCGGTTGCTGTTTGTGTTGCTTTTTCACGTAATATAAACGTCTGTATTGTCTGTGTGTTACTCATATAAACATAAAGAGATCAACAATAAAAATTTGATAGCTGTCTTGACTGTTGCTGGCTTTCTCACCAGGTGATGTAGCTCTATATGAAGAGGAGGAGATGCCTGTGTGTTCACAACATTAACCACTCAAGGCAATTCAGTCAACCTGTCAAAGAGTTAAAACTAGGTTTGTTGATGTGTTTATTAGCCTAGATTGTATATTATAACATAGACATTGTATTTCTTTACTGTGTCTGCATAGAAACTGCTAGCATGCCATGCATAGCACATGGCAGAAATAGACCCAAAGCATATTTTTGTACTTCACAAGCATGTTACCGCCGCAGTGCTGCGTCCGGTGTGAAGGGCTACATTGATTACTATAGGAGAGTTCGGTGTGAAATGGGCTTTAGTGTTTGACAGTTTCTCATTGCAGATTAAATGTATCAGGAGACCAGCTGAGTGCTTATAAATGCAAATAAGTCATTGTCTTAAATCTTAATGTTCATCTTAAATCTTTCTCTCTGCCTTTTTGTTAGCTACTAGCTAGGTCAGATTGTTGTCTGCATTGCTGTCTGTGCGCCAATCTTCAGGGTTAAAGAGTGAATTAGCAGTTCTACATTAACTCCAGCATTTAAGACCATTTATTGTTAAAACTGTGTTTGAACGATCAGCAGAGCTTTATTTTACTAAAGGAGGATTATTTTATTGTTACCTAAAGTATAATTCTGCTGTGAATACAACAGCATAGTAAAAGAGCTGCATGTTGCTGACCACTGGATTAGCCAAACCAGGTGACCTCAACAAATCTCCACAAAGGGAGTTTGGAAATGGTTAAATAAATACTCTGACATCCACACATAGTACTTATTATATTTATGTCATGTGTGATCAATAAACAGAATTTGGTACATGGAACTGACCGGTCTCCTCCTTCAAATGCAAATCCCGCTTTCACAAAAGAGGGCACTAAAATGGGCCAATTTCAAATTCCGAAACTGTTAAATAACAGTCTCGACTCATTAATATTTACGCCCCCCAAAATCTACATACATCCGCCCGTGTTCTAGCTCAGCAGGAAACACCAACAACAGAGCTACAGCTACATAAATGGCAGACTGAAATGTACTGTTGTACAGCGGCACCATTTAAGGTGGAACGGAAAATTTTCAAAACAATCTGCCAAATAGGAAATCATCTTTAAACAGTGTCTTTCCACTCTCAGAAAAAAAGGTGGCAAGCTGTCACTGGGGCAGTAGCACTCTTGTCACTGGGGTGGTGCCCTCAACTGTCCATCTCAGTACCTTTAGTCAGGGAACATAAATGTACCATAATTCATTTTAATTATTCTCTAAGTTGTGTTGACTCCACACACCCCGTCTCATCACCTTTTTATGTTATTGTTCTGTTTTAAAACATCAATATACTTTTCACCTGGAAAAACTTATTTAAGGTTCACAACTGGACCTTAAAACCTCTGTTGTACCTTTAAAGGAACAGTTACATTGTTTGTATCTTGATGAATGAAAAATGTACCTTAAAACAGAACCTTTATTTCTAATAGTGTAAGAAGGCAAAAGTGTGCTTTACTTTTAATGTAAATAAATGTAAAGAGATCTAATTCCAAGCAAATTGTGGAGCATTTCTATCACTCTATTCATCATAAAGCTTTCACACAATGGAAAGCTAAAGCAGCTGTTGTGCTCAGATGATGTGGAGATTTTGTTGGTCCTGTTTTTTTTCTCTAGTTTTCTTATGAACTCAGAACACTTGAAAATGTACAAAAACACAGACATGTATGCTACTTGAAATAGGAAGCTGTTATAGTCATTAAAAAGAGAAGTCATTAACATTCACAGCCAAGCGTTTAAAACAGCATTTCCATTTGAAAGAGTTTTTACTAAACGACTAGAGGAGCCAAAATAGCAACAGGACTAAAGGCAGTAACTCACAGCAGCACGAGAGAGCGCAAGCCAGAGAAGGTCAGAGAGGATATGTGGTGGATTTTGTTGTGTTCCAGAATCCTTGAAATGAAGAAATGAAAAAATGCAAAGAGCTCATTAATAAACATTGAAATCCAACAGTGAGCAAGGTGTTTGTCCAGCACTGGTTCAGGCCGATGCTAATGGATGCATGAAGGTTATGGCCTATAATTCAATACCATTTAATCAGGCATGTGATGGAACTGCTCTCCAGGCCAAATTGAATCATTTACTGAAGAACTGAAACACTTATGAAACACCTGGTGTGGAAGAATGAGTCACAGCTGTGTTAATGAAGGCTGTGCTCTTTTGGTCACCTAATGCTACATGATAATGATTTTACATCCCAGGTAATAAAGAAATGGCTTAAGATTCGATGTGGCTTACTTGAATGCTGCAAACCTGAGGCCATCTGCATTATAAGCATGGAAAAGAGAACCGGAAGAAATGCTTACAGCCATTCTAGCTTGTGCAGGTCCTGGAATACTCCTGGCATTAGGCTGGAGATTCGATTATGACTCAAATACCTGGAAAAAGAAGAAGAAAGAAGCGATGCTCTCAGCACAGTCTCACAGCCTTTTATCTTCAGCCCTGAACATGCACATCTGCCCGCGTCATTGTTATCATTGTCGACCGAAAGCAGCAAGCAAACACAAAACCAGCCAAAGCGCAGACAGCCAGGCGCCGGAGCCACCAGAGGAGCTTACATACTGAAAAGCAATCAAGCCAAAAGCTGCATCGGATTCTCTTCAAGCAATGGTCAGGTCAAAAAAACAAATTTACATAAATTTGCCTTGAATCTTAGGGAGACTTGACATCTACCTTGTTGTTGCAGACCAATCAGTCATGTTCTTTAGTTTGGTTCGGTAAGACAAATGTGAATGCTCTACCTGTACTTGGGTGCACACTAAACAACTGAACCATGGTCCTCTTTTCTACTTGAAAAAGTAGAAAAAAATACAATAGCAATTGTAAACACTTGTTAGGAACTCCTTAGGCTTTAACCTCTTAAAATCCCACACTTATTATGTACTGAGGCTTATTATTCAGCAACTACATGGACTTCAGTGCAAACTGGCTGAGCTATTCTTTGGTAATAGAGGTGTGTAATAAAACTTTGTGCCCGCCGGTGGGCCCTGGCCATTTAAGAAGGTAATTGACTCATTAGGCAGGTCAAGAATTGTCATGTCATTGTGAGCCGATGACAATTCCAGAGCTTAATAAACTTTCCAACTCATCAAATCTTGTGCCAACACTCAACAACCATGAGGTCCTCTAAGAGGCTGAAGATCTGAAAATTATAGCTAATGCTATAAAAAGATATCAAAGCACTTCAAGCTCAAACTTCAAGCAGTTCCTACTGTCTGAATTTTCATTAAAATTTCAGTGAAAGGAAATTGTGGACGTCAAGGCAAGATCTGGAAGACCAAGAAATCTCTCAGATAGAACTACTCATATTATGTCCAGAAAGGCAAAGCAAAACGCCCATATGACCGCAAAGGACTTGCAAGAAGGTTTAGCTCACACAAGAGTGGTGGTGAACCATTGTACTGTATGGCATTGATTACACAACACGATCTGTGTCATCAGAAAGAAAAACTTATCTGCAAACCCATCACAAAAGTCAGGGTCCGATATATGCAAAACAACATCTGGATAAGTCAGAGACTTCTGGAAACTGTGCACTGATGAAGTGAAAACAGAATTTTTTGTCGCCAAAGATATGCTTGGAGAAAAATGGAGGACTTCACTTTGGCCCTGTGTGTGTAATCTAAATTGATCTGTTATGTCATTGCAACCCTTAATGGTATGTTGATCTGGACACTATTATCACACAACAGCCAAGCTGAGAAAAAAAGAAAAATATGATCATTTTAAAACTGAGCGCTCACAGGCGTGTCAGGTTGTAAAGGCCCCGGAATGCATGGGGCTCCACCACTTCGATTCGGTTGTGCTGCAGGTATCTGAAAGAAGAGTTCAGAGAGAGATTTAGCATTAGAAGAAATCGTAATCAATGCAAGTTTATCTTTGTTTAACCTCCTAAACTACTGGCTTGTTATTCTGTGATTAATCTCAAAAGGAAATCTCTGATTTTATATAATTAAATTACTAAGACGTTAAGTCATTCAGAGTGGTCAGAATTGTTGAGAGTGGCGGTGATGGGAACCAGATATCATTCAGAGTTGAATGCCTCTAAAAGTTCTCTCACAGAAAGCTATTGACACACGGTTATGAATACGCTGAAACCTGTTTGACAACAGATTTGAGAAGGTTTTAGCCTAAAATATATTTTTTAACTGCTTCATATCAGAGAGGTACATGCAAGGCATTGTAAAGCAATGCATAATGAAACCTTTTTTTCAGGTTTACCATTATTTTATCATGCAAACATTGCATAGACAAACTTGTGTAGATACACTTGTCATCTTGAATAGTAAGAAAAATGGCTATATTTACATTATGGCTATATTAGACATGTTGATCCCTTGTTCTTACTACCACCACTGTAAAGAAATCTATGCTGCTGAGTTTCTCTACCACAAATTTCACATAATTCGACAATAGGGGCCATATTACAGAAACTTCTGATGGGTCGAGACAAGATTTTTCACACATTCATATTACAGAAGCAAATCCTCAACTTAGGAATCTTATCTTGCTGCATCTTATCTCAAGTTAAGAAATCTTAACTTACTCGATTGAGGTCGACAATCAACTGTCATGTCTGTTACCTTGCAACCGACCATACGCACACAGATGAAATGTAAAAACATAATCAAAGTAATCAAGCTAGTTAGCCAGATAGCTAACGTTAGCTACCATTACTGATGTACAAAAAAAGGTCAAACAAAACTAAAGCGCAATAAACTGAGAGTGAAGAATATTGTGTCAGCGCTTTGTGCAGTTTATGAGAGCATCACAGCTATTCAGTCTCAGTTTCATTTCCCAAACACTTTAGCAGAGTGCGCTAACGTTATACCTCCTAATAAACAGACATACGTTCAGCCCTGTCTCCTCATTATGCACCATCATTACTGTAATATTTTATCTGACGAGATCTCATCAACATTAACACACAAAGGTAATAATAGGGGATGGTGGAGATTGAGTCTGCAGCATCTGGGGTTTTTAAAATGCTGTTAGAAAATAAATCCGTAAGTCAAAGCACCGTTTTTCAGTGTAGATAAATGTAACATCATTATGCCAGTTATAATGAACTTTCCTGCCTGTCACTACATAAAACAATAGAAACAGATGGTTAAAACAGAAGCAAGACACCTCTTAAAGTTAGGACAGAATTTAGGAAATTTTGTCTAGTTAGGATGTTTCTGTTATAATGTTTTATTATCTAAAGTTTAGATAAGATTATGAACTTAAGAACTGTAATAACTTCTGTCCTCAGTTCAGTCCTAACTGAAGTTGTCATTGTGCAACAGATAAGATTTCAGACTTAAGAAGTTTCTGTATTATGGCCCCAGAATCTCTCTGAATGCCTTTATTTACATCTCAATTATAAAATTATGCAGAATAGTTTTTTAAAAATTGGTGGAAATACTTTAAAGTAAATTCCCTTTAGTTATCAATGACTTATTATTTACTGTTAGTACCCACTAGTACCTTTAACTTTTTGGTAACTTCTATGAAACTAATATGCAAGCTGTATAGTTGTAAGCGAGTGAAGAATAGGGGTCAGTTTCTGAAGTCTACGGTTCTGAAATCTGTTCTTCAGAAGTGAATGTGTTTGAACATAAAAGTGCCTGAATGTATTCTGAGAGCGAGTATAATCAAAGTGATTCTTCCTCAGCAATGTTTTATTTTTAATTTGCACTTGAACATGTTGTACAATATTTGAAGGATCAAACATTAACAGCGAAAGTAAATCAATGCATGAGGTAAAACTTCAAATAGGTGCCATGGGTCCAAAATCTTTTTAGGATGTAAAATTTGATGAATAACACTAATTTAATGGAACATAGCAGCTGAGTGAGAGGGCATTCGTTGACTATAAAGCAGATCTGAGACTTTCTATATCAGATGGAAAATTCCAGTGTTCCACATGCACAGCCAAACACATGACATGGCAAAATTAACTTCAGGTAAATATTCAATGACCTCTCAATACGTGTTAAGACTTGACTGATCTTTAATTAAGTGTTAATGCTGTCTTCTCCTCTTTGCCCTGATCTAAGTATCCTCCACTGGCATGGCTATGATTAGCTGCTAATAAAACCTGCGAGCACGCTCAAATCAAATTGGCTCGCGGCTCTGTTGTGTTAGCAGTGATTCCTCATTGCTATTCCCTCTGTGTTTTGCGTCGCCACTCGTAGATTTGCTTTATATCTGCGACAGAGCCTCCGTCTGTCACTAGATCAAGGACGCTCTTTAGACGGGACTGCAAACGCAGGGCCAATTCCATCTCTCTCAACCATGGACTCAGATGAGATGTGACAACAAAACCACAAAGACACAGAAGCAGCAGCCTGAAATACACACTCAAACACGCGGCAGCCGAGCCAAAAAAGAAAACGCAGCTCATTCCTTCAGTTCCTTCTCAGGTGGAAAAAAAGCAAACTGGGGAAACATCCAGCATGTTTTGTTTCTTATATCTCCGAGACCGTTTGTCACTTTTCAGAGCTGGAGATGAGCATAGATATTGTTTGATTCCTGTGGGGAATGTTCAGGGTTTCTCCTTTTGGTATCAGCAGGCAGTGATGGAAAGAAACTTTTTACAGTACTTAGATGCATTTTTTTCCTGCAACAATGCTTTTGACTTTAATAAAATCATAACAATATTACTTTAAATTACGGTTATTTCGAGGAAAGTATCTCCTTCACTGTTCCAAAGTTTGTAGGCACCTTCTAATCTTCTGAAATGAAGGGTATTAATAGAGAATTTGTTCCCTTTTGTTGCAGTAATGGCCTCTAATTTTCTGAGAAGGCTTTACACTAGATGTTGGAACATTGCTGTGAAGATTTCATTGCATTCCACCATAAGAGCAATAGTGAGGTCAGGTACTCATGTTGGATGATCAGTTCTGCTTCCCTTTAAAGAGAATAAACATCCCAAAGGTATGGGATGGAGCACCATCACTCCAGAGAATGCTGGGGTGCTTTATAACACCTCTAGTCTGGTCAATTTAGGCACATGTGCAGTTGCTGCAGAGCATCCCAAACTACTAGTCAACGCTTTTCTATGGATATTTTGCAACCTGTGTGCAAAGGAACATAAGTATCAGCAATGAGTGCACTTTAAATTAGTTGAATTCACTAATTAGAGGGGCTTTCTGGTTACTCTTGGACACATCAGGATAGTTTTCCAGATGCAGATTAAGACTACAACTAATTTAGTCCAAAACTAGGCTTAATCTGGGTCTAATAAACAGTCTAAAATATATTTACTGTGATATTTTATATACTTCTTTTTATTTTCTTGCGAACAGGAATGTTAGCTCTGTATTAAACCTAAAACCGTTACTAATATGTTCTTTTACGAGTACCTGTTAGGTAGGTAATGTGAGAAAATGTTCAAAATAATGGGTGATAGCACTGCTAGGTTATCTTAGGCTAGTTAGTCTAGCGAAATCTTGAGTGTTGGACCATTTGGCATTTATTAAATTACCCTAAATGAAGTAATTACATGTGTTTTTCAGTAAACACTGTATTTATTCTTAACAGAGTGATGTTCTTATGCTTCTTACTTGCATTTGAGTGAGTTATAACAACAGTAGAGTAGGCTACTCTTGTATATGTAGGGATTTTCTCTTTCCACCCTCGGTAAATGTAAACTGGGCTAATAATGAGACAGCATCCAAGAATAGATATGAACAGGAACATCCATCACAGAGCAAGACAAAGACTGCCAGGCTCTTACAGCTTCTGAAGACTTTGGTACTTAATGAACATGTCAGCGTTCAGCTTCCTCAGCCGGTTCCTCTGCAAGGACCTGGGGCGAGAGAGACAGACAGAGAGAGAGAGAGAGAGAGAGAGATAAAGAGAGAAAGGTACATGTAAAGCATGTGTTCACATGCTGATACACTGCAAGAGTTTGGAATAATATGAGACAGATTTGGTTCCAGATATACTACACTCTTAGCAAAAAGTATTGCACACAAAAAAGGTTCTATGACTTGTAATAAAGGCAGAACCAATGGTAGCTGAACCAACATGCTTCCCTTTACAGAGAATAAACATTTAACCATGCCTAGAACCATGTATGCATTCAAATGCTTTTTGAGTTATATATACTCCTTAAAAAGAAGGTTCTTCAAGAGTTCTCTAGTAAAGGAAATGGTTCTGTGTAGAACCATGAATGCTCAAAAACACTTCGCATCATGAAATATGCTTCTTCAGATTGATATAGAATGTGCTGTAGATGGTTCTGTATAAAACCTTTTAGGAAAGGGTTCTATATAGCACCAAAAATGGGTTCTGCTACTATAACAATAGCCATGTTCACATGCAGCCTAATAATCTGTTAATAATCTGGCTAACAGCTCAATTGGAATAGAATACGTTCATGTATACACCTCAATCGGAATAGACTAGTCTGATTGAGGCCATTCGGAACATAATTTCTATCCGATTAAACGAGGTGTATACATACATACATACATCATCTAAACCGCTTATCCTTCTGGGTCGCGGTGGGGTGCTGGAGCCTATCCCAGCTGTCATTGGGCAGAAGGCAGGATACACCCTGGACAGGTCGCCAGTCCATCGCAGGGCAGACAGACATACACATTCACACCTAGGGGCAATTTAGCATTTCCAATTGGCCTGACTGCATGTTTTTGGATTGTGGGAGGAAACAGGAGTACCCGGAGGAAACCCACGCAGACAACATGCAAACTCCACACAGAAAGGACCCCGGGCGCCCAGCCGGGAATCGAACCCAGGCCATTCTTGCTGTGAGGCGACAGCGCTACCCACTGTGCCACCGTGCCGCCACGAGGTGTATAATCCTGTAAATAATAAATGCCTGTATCCAATTACATTCCCAATCGGAAGTGCAAGTACGTTGGTGCATCTATAGCACATTCTCCACCAAATTGAAGAACCATTTCATGATGCAAAGAACCCTTTAACCATGCAAAGGTTTCTTGAGTGTGCCTTGTTCTATACAGAACCTTTTTTTTCTACTAAAGAACCCTTGAAGAACCATTTATTTTTAGGGTGTACGTTCAAAAGTTTGGAATCAATATTTTCAACAATAAAAAAAGCAATTAGGTCACAGGCACATGTTTCAAATGATTGTATCTCAAACGAGTCCTACGCAACTTCACAGCTTTCAAATAATCAGTTGGACATCATTAATATATGACGTATGAAGAATGGATCGTACTGAAGAGCTCAATGACTTTAAACATGGCACTGAGGCCACTTTTGTCACAAGCCAAATTTCTGCCCTGCTAGATCTGCCCCAGTCAACTGCAAGTGCTGCTATTGTGAAATGGAGGCATCTAGGAGCAACAACAGCTCAGGCATGAAGCTTCAGAGCACGCAAACTCACAGAGTGGGGCCTGTGAGGGATGAAGTGTGTTGTGTGTAAGAATCACCTATTTCTGTTGTATCACTCACTAGAGTTACTACCTCTAGAAGCAACTTCAGCACAAGACCTTTGTGTCAGGAGTTTCATGAACTGAGCAGCTTCACACAAGCCTACGATCACTATGCGCAATGCCAAGTGTCGGCTGGAGAAGTGTAAAGCACACCACCACCGGACTGTGGAATGTCCTGTGGGCCAAGCCTCTTTGTCCAACATTAGTGCTTGGCTTCCCAAATGCTCTTTTGACTGAAGTCTTCCCTAGAAGAGTGGAGGCTGTCATAACCAGGGACACTTAGTTGTTTTAAGTTCAGGTGCTGAAATTTTAAGCGGTATATGTGAACAGTGAACAGTGACGTGAAGCGAAATGATTTTTTGAATTTTTCAATGCCACCCCCCCACTTTGCACATCCCTGGTTATTGCAGCAAAAGTGGACCCAACAGCATAATAATGTCAATGGTTTTGGAATGGGATGTCCGACAAGCTCATATAGGTGTGATGGTCAGGAGGCCATATAGTGTATTCTAGATGTGTCCAGAATGATGGCTAACTGTAATATGATTCTAAAGAGCTGTATAGCATTGGAAATTAGGCTGTAATAAAAAAAATATCCAGAATGTCTTGTGTTTGAAAAGTGGTGATCAAATCTCAAGGCAGATAACTTGACAACATTAAATAAAATATCATCTTAAATATAATCCACTGGTATGCAAATGTTTGGGTGCCCCTGGTCAAAGTACATGTTCTTGATTTTTATAAATGATAAAAGTTATTGGATTTTCTACAAAGAGGAAATAAACCATAAAACGTGTCCTGTGCAAAAGTTATAACACGTAATACGTTACAGCAAGTAAATAGAAATCGTGCACTAGACTTCCCAGTGTTTAAGTCTATAAAGTTTCTTTCTCTCCTTCTCCTTTATTGCCTTGCCTTTTTCCTCCTCTGCCTAGTTCTTCTTTTTTTGCACTTTCATTTCCCTTCTTCTCTCATTTCTTCTCTATCCTTCTACTCCTCTTCCACCTCCTCCCCCCCTTCTTTTTCCTTTGCCATCTTTTCCTCCTGCTTAATCTTCTTCTTCTCCTTCTCTTCCTTCTACCCTCTTCTTTCTCTTCCTCCTCCTTCTTTTTATTCTTCTACACCTCCTTCTCCTTCCTCTTCCACTCCTTCTTCTTATCCTCTTTCCCCTGTTTTTAATGCTTCTACTCCTTCTTGTTCTCATTCTTATCCTTTTACTCCTCATCCTCCTTCCTCTCCTTCTTGTTCTTTTTCTCCTCCTCCTCCTTCATCTTCTCTCCCTCCTGCTTATAAAATATTAAATAACTGTATATATAATGTATAATATCGATAAGCATGACAAGGAATTCCACAGTTTTGAGAGGTAGTGTATGTGCAGGTGAAACAGGAACTGAAAGGGATGTCTGTAAAATGAAATTGTTATATAAAGATCTATAACTATTGAATATACATGAATAAACATACAGTTGATTACCATCTAGCTTTTACATAAGTTCTACAGCAGCAACAGATTTGTTCACTTTAATGCACGAGTGACGCATAAATCATTCATGGAAATGTCAAAATCTCGCTATTGAAATTGCAAATGACTCAAATTATTGCATGAGTGCATTAAAGCGAGCAGCCATTCATGCACTCAAGTTAATCGCACCATGCTAAATTGATATGACCTGCTGAAGCCATGCTGCTACACTATTAAATAAGGACCAGATTTTATGCAGATATAAACAGTATACTTGCAGTTCCTCGGAAATGATGGTGCACTGTAATTGTTACCTGTCTGCCTGAATGGCTGTGTAAGGCCACAGTGAGTAAGATATCACAGATATTGTGTTGTCTAGTCTGTTTATTCACACACAGTCGCTTCATTTGACAGGTGACAGATGAGGGGAGGCTTTAAGGATAGCTGCACTGCAACTGATGTGTTTTGTTTCATAAACTGTGGAAAATAGTTTTGACAAATGTGGCCTGACATTAGACCCCCTCTCCCCCCACACATACCACCAACCAAAACACAATACACAATGTTTACTCAAACTTTATACCAGATATATACACCGATCAGGCATAACATTATGACCACCTCCTTGTTTCTACACTTATTGTCCATTTTATCAGCTCCGCTTACTATATAGGTGCACTTTGTAGTTCTACAGTTACAGACTGTAGTCCATCTGTTTATCTGCATACTTTGTTAGCCCCCTTTTACCCTGTTCTTCAGTGGTCAGGACCCCCATGGACCCTCACAGAGCAGGTACTATTTGGGGGGTGGGTCATTCTCAGCACTGCAATAATACTGACGTGGTGGTGGTGTGTTAGTGTGTGTTGTGCTGGTGTGAGTGGATCAGACACAGCAGTGCTGCTGGAGTTTTTAAACACTGTGTCCACTCACTGTCCACTCTATTAGACACTCCTACCTTGTCAGTCCACCTTGTAGATGTAAAGTCAGAGCCAACAGCTCATCTGCTGCTGCACAGTTTGTGTTGGTCATCCTCTAGTCCTTCATCAGTGGTCACAGGACATTGCCCACAGGACGCTGTTGGCTGGATATTTTTGGTTGGTGGACTATTCTCAGTCCAGCAGTGACACTGAGGTGTTTAAAAACTCCAGCAGCACTGCTGTGTCTGATCCACTCAGACCAGCACAACACACACTAACACACCACCACCACGTCAGTGTGACTGCAGTGCTGAGAATGATCCATCACCAAAATAGTACCTGCTCTATGAGGGTCCATGGGGGTCCTGACCACTGAAGAACAGGGTAAAAGTGGGCTAACAAAGTATGCAGAGAAACAGATGGACTACAGTCTGTAACTGTAGAACTACAAAGTGCACCTATATAGTAAGTGGAGCTGATAAAATGGACAATGAGCGTAGAAACAAGGAGGTGGTCATAATGTTATGCCTGATTGGTGTATTTGTCCCTGTGGCGCTTCATGGTAGTTTTGTTTCATTGCAGTCGCTCACTGAACTCTGTAAATGCAACAGTGCATTTGATCCACTCTCAGCATCCTCTAATGGTTTGTCACAGATTGCAGAGACAGAACAGCCTGAATGGTTGAATCCAAAATATGCATAAAATCAAAGCAATAGATCATAAAGCAACACAGGTCAAACTTCTTCTGCTACTTTCCTCCTTTGTTTTCCTGCTCCTCTTTCTTATTCTATTGCTCCTTATTCTTTGCCTTCTTTTTCCTCCACCTAGTTACTCTTCTTCTTGCTTATCCCCATTCTCCTCTTCCTCCTCCTCCTCCTCTTCTATCTTCTTCTTCTTATTCCTTTCTCTCTTTCTCCTTATTTTCCTCTTCTTTTTCCTCTTCTGCCTAGTTCTTCTTCTTTTCTTTTCTTTTCCGTCCTCCTTCTTCTCCTTCTTATGCTTCCCT